CATGTTCTTACGGGGCCTTCTTGTTTCCATCTTCTGAATTGCTCATCATAGGAGTAAAAGAAAATGATGAGCATATAGGCATTTATTAATTCTGAGTTTCCAAGCATTGTTTGTAAATCTGTCATCAGAATTTGAGACTTCACAATCTAAACAAACATTCTCTTTTTGACACAGTATTGTGTTTCTTCCTTATAATTTGGATACCAATTGAGTAACTAGCTTTCTACTACCAAATAACACTGAGCTTTTAGTCATTTATGTGTATGCCTCCTTATATATATGCTCGTCATTTTCATCTTCTAAATTTATCATACCCAATTTGTTGAAACCATCAATATAGAGTAAAGAACACACACATATATGCTCGAGTAACATTTATCTATGTTTATTGTTATAGCAATTTATCATATACTTTGTAGTTTCCTACTGCTTGGTAAGACAACATTTAATACAAACTTTGAATGTCTTGTTTTTCATGGAATTGTTGGTTTATATCCTTGGCCTACTATATCTGTTATAATTTTGAGGTAATCAAGCAATTGCACGGTTAAAAGTTTTGTGAATTTGTTATTCTAAATACACCAAAAGGCAATAAAAGTCAATGGGCCAATTTATCTCTGGTGCCCAACATGTACATACAAAGTGCAAACATAGTAAGCACTGGTACGCACAACGTTTGAGTGGATGAGGTGGTGGTGGGTCTAGATCTCTGATTACATAAGACGTAACCAGTAACCACCAACATGTAGAGTGATGAGGCACATGGTGATGCCTCAACATCTATCATATTTTTCTTCTTGCGAAGCCATGGCAAGATTAAGAGATTTCCTGGGCCCAAACGAGGAATTACGGATATTATGGGCCAAATATATAGAATCTGTTGCCTCTTAGCAGGTAAGTTCGCAGACAATTTTGTACCCAAAATCTAGCCAACTTGTTCACCCTTTAAAGAAATTGGGTGGCCTAGATAGTCTAATCATGATATGAATTTTTGAGATATAAATTTTATTAGGGGGGTGGGGACCATTCCAGTGGCTTATGTACCATATATGATATATCACTCATTTGACAGATTTAGGTCCATGTGAACAATAGGTACGACCCAGACCGTATTCTCCACTTCATGGTGAAGGTAAGGCAGCGTTTTCATTCGCTAATTTAATAAACAATATACGTGACAAGTTAAACGTATGAGTATCTGACAAATTAACGACATATTGAAGATGTCTAGATGATAATGCAAATAAAGCCAATTGATCAATTCGATCCATATTTTCTTAACCACCCTATTAATTAAAAACATTGTGATTACAGATTAATTAATCGCCTTCTATATAAATTTTGTTCCTTTTTTCTCTAGTAGTTATTATTAGAACTTTTAATTTCCTTGTAGATATAATATTTCAAATGGTTAAATTGTCAAAATTGAAGGTGACCAAGATAAATAAATTTAACATACGATGCTATTTTTCAGAAGGAAAAAATTGATATGCAAAGTTGCAAACGCCAGACAAGTGTCAATTTTCATTTTAGAAAAAAAAAATCCCCTAAATAGCGAACCAAATACTGTAGTTCACAAAATGGTAAATTATTGAGTTTTTTTTCAAGAAGAAATGACAATGCTCATTCCATTGAATTTTGTGTACATCTATACAATAAAATAACTAGAAAATCAAAATAAAAAAAATTATAAATCAAAAAAATTGAAATTATAAGGGAGGTAACCAATTCAATTAAAGTATAATCTAAAACATATAGATGAAAATTATATTATAAAAAATATGTGCACAATTAATTAATTTAAAAAATTTAAATTTAAATTTTTAAAAAGGGAGGTTGATAATAATTAACATATGTGATTCGTCGAGGTCTAGAGGAAGAATAAATTAATGGGGCATTTGGCACGCGATATTCTCCAGGATTATCGAGAAACTGAATTTTTCTAAATTCTTAATTTTTAAATATTATCGTAAACTGAATGTAAAAATCATATTTTTGAAAATCGAGATTTTTGGTTAAAAAAGATTTCTCCTCTACCAAACGTCTCATAAAAGATAAAGTGGCTCCTAAAATAATGTACCGTGAAGTTGTTGGGATTTAAGAAAAAAAAGCGAACTTTAATGTTTTTTTTATAAATGGATCAATTTGAAAGTATATAAAGTATAAACACTTATGGCCTGTTTGGAGCACCTGATAAAGAAAATAGGATAGTTTATCATATCCTATTTTTATCTCTTGTTTGGTGGGTTAATAGGATATGATTAACTTATACAATTGTCTCATTTTATCTTATCCAATGCATGATTTCTTATCTTATGGGGGGAGCTGGGTTAGGATTCAATAGGTTAGGATATCAATATTGGTTACCCAATAAATACCCACGCTACCCAATATATTTGTATTTATTGCATTATATTTTATTTTTTCTTTCTCCTTTCTCTTTCTACATAATCTTATCAGATTGCTAATCAAGTGCTCATCAAACACAGGACATGATATAGGCTTATCAGCCTCATATCATATCCTACCCTTATCAGCTCCATATCATATCCTACACTTATCATATCCTGTCCACCAAACGAGCCCTTAAGGTTTGGTAAGGAAACAAAGGGCTTTTTTATTGTGTTTTTTATTTTATTTTTTGAAATTATTTTGTAGAATAGCTAAAAAAATAAATATTTTTTTATTTTTTATTTAATTTTAAAGTTTAAAGTCAAAACACAAGACGGAAACAACTAAAATATATTTTCTAAACTTGATTCCAAAAATTAAAAATTAAATATAATTTTTATTTGCAAAATAGATATTAGATCCCAAATTAATTGCAAAAATACAATTTTAAAAATAAAATAAACGAAATTTAGCATAAATAACAAATTATTAATTTTGTTATTTTCAAAAAATATAAAAATATGTGCTAAAAAATAGAATTTGGAGTTTTTAAAAAACGTAAAAGAAAATGTGCTAAAAATAGTAAAGCTTCGTTTCTTAAAAAAAGACACAATAACAAGAAATTTGTTCACTCTCAGTAATAAAAAGAGTAAATACGATACTTCATTATATAAGGTTTGGTATAGTGATTTATCAATTATATTCAATTATGTGGTGCTTCTTTTCCCACGCAACTAATTATTTTCTCTTCCTCACTGCAGAGATTTATTTACATTGCCTCTTCTAGTCTTCTTTCTCTCAAAATTAAATACTTAGACTCCATACCTAAAAAAAGAAAAAATACTTAAGACTACACCGTAATAAAGTTCTATGGTATTAGTTTTTGGTTTGATATGATATGTGGTACGGTCATTACATAAAAAGACAGAAAACCCATGTTTTCGGGGCTTGTTTAATGCACTTCGCAACAACAAACTCCAAAGCCTGACCAACATTGGAGGACCCTCATCTAACTTTATATGATGATTGGAATTTAACAACGGAACGTTGAAGCTTAAGTGCATGTGCTAACTGAAACAAACAACAATCTTTCTGCTTGTTTCTTAATACAAGACATTTGTTGCAGCTCGCTGTGCACGCACGCATATCAGAAAATTCTACTGCAAAGTGTTATCAATTCTCTTTTTTATAAAACATAATTTTTAGGTTTATACTTCTAAGGCTAAGTGGCAAAACGAGAAACGCTATATATAGCTAATTCTGATCTTGTTCATGATTTGCTTTCACAGCTCTGGTGGGAACCATCTTCAGCAGTGTCATTATCAGCTTAATTACTAATGTATTATGCCATAATTGGAACCTCACCAAGGTACCTTATTCCATTGACCATTCTTCTCAAGCAACAGATTATATTAATCAGACGTGGGCTTAATGTTGATTATAATTTAAGAAGCATATTTGTTTTCATAGCTTCTTTACAGTAATGTAATTATTGGCATGATCTTCATAAATAAAGTTGGCTTAATCGAATCATATTGTGCAGAACAAAATTTATAACGGAGGGCATATCCTAATCCTGCTTTTCCCCCTACCCTACTAATTTTCAATTAGTGAGGCGGTGATATTATTAGATTCTAAAACATAATAATAAATAATCTCAACATAAATATATAAAAATACTTCCTCAGTGCCGAAGTGAAAATTTAATTGGTGTAACTCAGTTAGCAACACAGTCAGACAAATATATTTTTTGAATTTGATTTTTAGAGAAGGGATAATTTTTTTTTAACTATAATTAAACTAAATCCCAATTTGAAATTAATCTCGTAATTAACTTAAAGAGTTGAAATTTGTAAAAATATTTTAATAATAGTAAAAAATAAAAATAAAAATTCAGAGGGTGGAATACCAATTTTCCAACTGTGTAGTTAGTAGCAACTAACAAGTTATGGAAACATTTTGAATGGGGACAGTAATTAACGAGGGAAGGGCATGAAACTTCAGATTCCATGTTTACCCTTTTGCAAAGCAGAGACCCAATCATTCAATACGACCATCAAAGTGATGGCCCATAAAATGAAGGGTCCAGATTGATGGAATGGTGGGGCATATACCAGTAGGGTCATTAAGACTCACGACGGATCTTTCTGTGATGCCAGCAACTGCTCCATTAAAAGGGCAAAAAATAAAATAAAAAAAAAAAGAGAAAAGAAAAGAAAAGAAAAGAGAAGATGGGGAATGATCCACCTGTTTGTCAGTGACATGGTACATTGGTTTGGGCAATAACCAGCAGCCAGACCCCACCACCTGAGCCAACACCTGGAACCGATAAGGTCTTGACCCCACCGTCCTATTACCCCCATCTCTCTGAAAAATCTTAATCATTGATGCAGTAAACCTCGAGATTCATGGCAGAGATTTAGAATCGGAATGATCAGAAAGCAATGTAAATTTAATATATAACCAGTACATTTTCACATTAGTCTTGCGGTAACACTGTTTCATCCCTTTTTACCGCACGAGCTTTGTGGCCCAGAAAGAGAGATAGATGGGGAAAAAGAAACCATAATGTGAAAAACCAACATCTTAAGTCTTAACTGTTAGGTAGGAAACTTAGCAAAGGCCATGGAATGGAAGTGAGTCGTTTTCTTCTCTTCAACATAAAAAGCATAAAATTACAAAGCAATTAAAAGGATACTGGTAAAGCAATTTAAACAATGATGATAAGATATCGTGTAGTGAAATAACTCAAAGAAGACATTTTTTTTTTTTTTACCCAAAAAACAAAAAAGCAGGCAGCCAAATACCCAATTGTTAAATAGTGTCATCTCCCAAACCCTAAAAAACCCTCTTCTCTTCTCTTCTCTTCTCTTCTCTTGGATCCTCCCCTCTCCTCAAAAATATTAATCACACACCAAAAATTAATATTTTTGGGAGTAATAAATAAAACTCAATTTTGAAGATCAACCAAACCTCACGTGTGTTAAACACATCATCAAACTACTACACGTACATGTATATGAAGAAGAAGAAGAAGAAGATGATGATCCTCTACGAATGGTGACTTGTGGTATCATGTCGATCATCAGTGCCACCGCGATGTGATTGTGACCCACTTGCCTGAGACTCTGAAACACCAATATTCACAGGCCTATAAGGGCTAAGCCCAGCAAGCATACTCAAATGACCTTCATTCATATTCCCAGTTCCACTGCTTCCTCCAACAACGCCAATCCCAGATGAACCTAATTGTTGACTTGGCAACAACGCCATGGGTGTGGGAAAGTTCATAAAATGCAACCCACTTGACATGCCGCCTCTGTATAACCCACTGTTATTCACTTGTGGGAAGGTCCATATTGGGTCACCACTCATAACTTGGTTATTTGAATTCGCCACCATCCATATATTACCCGGAACCTGAGCGTGACTCGCTGGAATCGCCCCTGCACTCGACTGCAGCAGATAATTCCCCATTTGATGCTGCGTCGATGACAAGTCTTGTTCGGTGGTTCTTCGTTTCCTTCCCAAACCTTCTTCTGCGTTTGTGTCTGACAAATCCAACGTGGACGAAGAGGGAGCACCGACGCCGCCGCCGTCGCGAAGCTCCTGCTTCGCCTGTAACATGCTGGCGGTTAGGTTATTGGATTGGAAATTCAGAAGCGTGGTGGAGGTGTTGGTGTTCTCGGAGGACAACCCGATTCCGGGGAACAAGCTCCTACGTTGTTGAACCGCGAAGTTTGGGTTGAAGTACGAGGATCTAAGCTGAGATGGCACGGACATGGTGGAGCCTGAGCTTCTGAGAGATATGTTGAGGGAGGTGAAGTTAGCTGGGATGGTTCCTGTGCCGGTGGCGGCGATGACGGCTGGTTCGGCCTGCTGGAGGAGCCACTCGATGGTTTCTCCGTCGGACTTGTGGCCGAGCTCGCGGGTGAGCTGGAAAACTCGGGCCGCGCAAAGCGCCGGCATTCGGATGCGGCGGCCGCGGCCGTCTACTTTGGTGTGGCGGTCCTTGGTGGAGGTTCGTTTCGGGGCTGGCTTTTTGTTGGAGGGGTCGGATGAGAGTGGCACCACCGCTAGCTGGTTGGATCGGTTTGAATTGGATGTGTTGGGTGGTTCTGCGGAGATCGCTAGGGAAGGGTATGGGGAGGAGGTGGAGCATGATGCGGCTTCTTGATCTTCTTTCTTCTCGAGTAGCTGGAATGGGAAGTTTTGACGGTGGTGATGCTGATGGTGGTGGTGATGTTGGTGGTGGTGGAGATCATCATCTCCCTCCATGATCGCATGGAGAGAATATAAAATTGGTCACAGTTCTCTCTGTGTGTGTGTGTGTTTGTGTATGATTGTGTGTGTGTATGTGTATGTGTATGTGTGTGTGATCGTTTTTTATGAGACGGAGTGTGATAAGTGGTGAGTTTATAGTTTAATCTGTGTGGTGGGTCTTTCTCATCAGTGACTATGTGTAGAGGAGGGGATGTGTGTTTGTGTCTAGTTATTTTGTTTTCATTCTTTGTATATGGGGAGGGATTTGCTTTGAAATTGATGTGGTTTAGGAGGAAGAGAAAGAGAAAGAGAAAGAAAGAGAGACATGGGATAAGGGAGAGTTGAGAGGGGGAAGAGCTTTTAAGCAACAAAGATAATGAGTGGGAATTATATGGGTGAGCTTTAAAAAGCTTGATTTTTTTAGAAAAGAATTGCTTTGTTGCGTTGAGCTTTTTAATTATTGTTTTTTTTTTTTTTTTCCTTTTAGTTTTTAATCCTTCTATTTATATGGAAAGCTTAAACTTGAAGTGAAAAAAATCTGAGATTCTTGGTTTTAATTTATCTTTTTTTTTGTTTTTTTATTTTTCTTAAAAATAAAAATTATTGTGATGGAATGGAAGGGAGGAGTTCCCTTTTAATTGTGGTTGGACAGCGTCTTTGGTTCAGAGTCCACGTGAGGCGCTCTTTATATCATTCAATCCATAAAGACAATGGTGGCCGAAGTGGGACCCGATCCCAAGTCAAAAAATTGAAAGACCTGGAAAGGAAAGATTATCAAGCGGGTCCCGTCTCATTCAAGTAATCATTTCGTTTTGCCTTTGGCCTTTGCCTTTTGTTCTGCACCTTTGCTGGGGAACTTTGGGATTCCTCAATTGGCCCTTTGCCTTTCCTATGCCCCTAATTACAGCTTTTGCTTAGTTTTTGTTTCGCTTAGTTTCACATCAATTACAACCTCAATCTACCCTTCCCTATCATTAATACATATATCATTCTAATGCTTACAAACATCTTGACCCCCTAACCAGGGCTACTCATTTTAGGAGCATCCCATGGATTAATATCCAAAATTATTATATTATAGCTTCATCTTCTTCACTTTTTCCTTATAGGCATGCATCTTTAGCTGTCTCTTATCAAATGCCTTAATTGGCATTTTTGTTTCATGGATCGATATTACATATGTGCATTCCTCTCAATCAATTCCTTTATCTATTTAACTTCTAATCAAATCAAATCAAACAAATTGCATTTTCCTATTTTGAATCATTGCAACGATTATAATAAATACCAAAGTGCTTAAGATTTCAAGGATTTCGGGGAAAAAGACAAGATATACTAATGAGGAATTTTTGTAGGCACTCAACATATGCTATTGCTGGTAATCTTGTTAAGCCTCAGGACCACAAGTAGCACATGGAAATGGATCTAACTCCTTGTAAAGTTTCAGAGAGAACAAGTAGCAGCTATGTTGATTATATAGGATGTCGACTTCAACATTTCTATTGGTTAGGACTCGTTTGAGGGGTTTCGTTCACTTGAGGTTGAGGCTGACACTGTTCCTTTTCCTCTCATGTGAGCAAACTCCACATAACCCACTTTCGTTTTCTTTGCATTTATGAAGAGGCTCTGGTTTCTTGTTATAGAACTTGGGATTGACCACTAAACTAGCTCCAAAAAATAATAATTTAAAATTAAAATTAAAGTGACACTTCGAGTCTGTGACAACACTGAATCTAAAAATCTCGCGCTCTTCTCCACCGGAATATATCCAAGCTTTTCCTTTTGCCATTTTAGTTTCTTCGCAGTTGTTCTTCTAAATAGCTACATGAAATCAAATAGTTTATACTTTGAATTTTGATGAAGTGGGACTAAAATTTTGAGTTGTACTTTTTTTCTTTTTTTTTATAAACTGTACTCCTATGAAGCACCGACATTTCAAAAACTCCGATATATCGTGTCTGACACTTATCGACACTCTAATACTCGTTGCAAAGACTCAAAAAAAGTTCAAAGATTACGTTGCGTTGCATTTTAAGTCCAACTATTAGATTCGTTGAATTACGATTACCATTTTATTGAGTTTAATATAAATATTTGAAATATCTTATGTTATTATCAAAATTGATGGATATATAAATTTAGCTTTGTTTTTTTGTTAAATTATTGAATATTAAATATAATATACACTATATAAATTAAAAATATTATATAATATCAAAACGTGTCTTAACGTGTCAAAATTTAATATTTTTTAGAATTAACTTGTCGAAGTGTCGTGTCGTAACCCGTATCAATGTCGTTGCAACATAGTTGTACTCCACTAAAGGCAATCTTGTTAGAAAAATATTTTTAATAGAAACATTTACATATTATAATGGAACTAACTCTCTAAAAAAAATTACATTTACAAAAATTTGAATTAAAACTTTATTTAAGCGAAATTAAACACGTACTTATTGAATAAATCCCTTTTGGTTGTTAGTTCTTAAATAGTGAACTTGGTTCTGTTATTTTCACATGCAACGGCATCTCATGGAAAACGACAAAACAACGCCTTCCCCTACAGAAATTAGGTCAATTTTGATTTTTGGAATGAATTTAATCATCAAATAATTTATTGTGATACATCTGCAAAAGTAAATAAGCATTGACAATTCAACGCAAAATCCAATTAACTGGTGCGTACATTTTACTTTCACGACTGTAATTTGTCATTACGCAATCCACTCTTTTTGACCCAGAGCAATTACCGATTAAAATATTGTAAGATTTTAAGCATCTTGTTAATACATTATGGGTTGCTTGATATGACGTATAAGGTCTGATAGTATAAGTTTATATTATATGTTATGACATTTTTAATTGTTTGGTGTGATAATCGTATAGTATAAAACTATAAACTTATACAACAGGATTCATTAATACATCAAAACGATGTATAGCTTAATCCGACATAAGGGGAAGGGATAAGGCCTGATAAGGGGTTGGTGTATTAACATCGTTGAATAGTGTAATTCTAAAAAATTAATATATTATTTTAATATTAAAATATTAAAATAAAAATTAATTTTTGAATATTTTTATTTTTATAAAAATTATTTTTCAATATATTAATTTTTAAAATATTGAATATTTTTATAAAAATTAATTTATGTTTTGGACACACCGATCAATAAATTTTTTTAAAAATTACTATGATGATATTTTTTGAAGAATTATATAAATTCTTTATTAAAGGATATTTTTAAATTTATTTTTATCCTATATAATATTATACAGTACATTACCAAATACTAGATTATATTATTTTATATAATACCGTGTCAAATGCTGGATAGTATTAAAATTTAATCAGACCTTATACTATTAAGTCTTATACTATCAGACCTTATCATATACTATACACCATAAGAGCTAATTAATTGCGGCACTTTGCAACTTTGTTAGACATTACATAAATATAAAAAACATGCTTCTTATCATTGGCATATTTCAAATTACTGAAAGTCGACCTCCTACCTACTTTCTCATTTTTATTTTTGTTTTTAGAAACTGAAAAATCCAAATAAATGCCCAACCTAATTCCTAAGTTTTTTTATTTTTTATTTTATTTTTTTAAAATTAAGACACATTGCAAAGCGGCCACGTGAGATTCGTCAGCTTTTTACACCACATGTGTAAAAGTTCTTGTCGCGAAATTACATGCCAAGAAAGGCAAAGACTAACGTACCGACAAGTTGACAAAATTTTAAACGCTCTCTTCAATTCTTGATAACGACTCTAAACTTAATAGTAAATATTGATGGTCAAAATCAAACGTATAACTTGTTTTAATTTTGATAAAAAAAAAAAAAAAAACACGCCCTGATAATAAATATCATATTAAAAATGAAAAAAATTTGTACTTATCATATCACTCTTATTATCGATTTATTTATCATTGATTTTTGTTGATTTCGAATTTATCTAACAATAACCAATCAAATAATAAGAGTGGTTTAGGATACTAAAAAAAAAAAAAAAAGAGTGGTAAGCTTAAATAGTGATAAACATAAAAAAAATGATTCAATACTTTTTTTTTTGCATTCTAAACATTTTATAATACTGATAAACTTATTAAATAAAAGGTAATATTATTGTTCTGTTACAGGAAACAGAGACATTTTCCTGCGCAGATAAGAATTCAGGAGAGAGAAGAAAAATTGAGGTGAGAGAAAAAAATTTCATGAGTTCCATCTGTACAGTGTCTCTGTAGGAAATTTATTTTATTTTGCTATAACATAAGAATTGAATTCCCCTTAAATAAATCTTACAAAAAAAAAGTTCACAATTTTTTTTAAAAAATAAATAAATATTTATTCCATAGTTAATAATGTGGGATTCATGTTTTTCATATTTATCTCATATATACATATAAAAAGATATAGAACTAATATGAGACCATGTGAAGAGAAAAAAAAATATAGGCACCATATTTATATGTGTAAGAGATAAAATTTATTTCCTACAACATTAAAAATATTATTCCCAAACAACATTTTCTTATATTTCATTGTGTTTGGTTCCAATTAAAAACTCAATATTTGTTAAAAAAGAAAAGGGATACAGTAAAAGATCATGTAAAAATATGTGAGAAGACAACAAAAGTTAATGAAGGACCACTCAAGAGACACACGAAACAGTTATATTATTTTTATACCTTAAATTTAGGGAAAAATATTACTCACCTTTCACACGAGATATTATCTCTCATTTTTTCTTACTTCGATTTTCGTATCCCACCTTTTTTTTTCTTGTAATAGTGGGACCCACTTATTTTCTCTCTACAACATAAAATAAATATCTTATGTTAAATGAGACTAATAAAACCCTTAAATTTATTCTTAATTTTCGCACTTACTCCATCAGTATAGTTAAATTGGCAATACAGTGTGAGTAGCTGAGGATAAAATCTGGATTCAATTGAATCGAACAGATACATTTTTGAGGGATAAAAAGCTTTAAGTGTGACTAAGTTGTTATTATAAATTAATCTCGTAGCCTAAACTTTTAAAAAATTCTGGGGCAGACTCACTTAAAAAAGGTAATTAACGTCAATATTAAAAAAAATTAACTCATCCATAACCAAGAATAAAAGAAACATTTTTTCTCATGAAATTGAAATGGAAATTGGTATCAGATAAAACAATGGAATCAAATGTACGTCTAGTGTCCTATCCACGAGGGCATCGCAGACCTGCGTTGCTAAGCGGAGAAGTGGACCAGATAGATATTAA